TTTTCCATAGGCCAGTGCTAACCTAATGCCTCTGCGAGGGGTACAAAGTCACTGCATTGTTGGAAGAAGGATAGTAAAATTAAGACCCACAGCTCTTGAACTGTTAGTGCTCCCTTGGTACTTTTAGCAATAGAGTAAGGTTGCATCTAGGTCATAACTGTTTCATAGACTTTAAAGCCAGAGGGGACTGTCATCAGCATCTGGAATCTCACCCATCCCTGTAATAGACCCATAACCTCTGGCTGACATACTGAGTTTGCCTAATGAACTGCCATTTCAATGGGATGATTCTTCACTTGCTGTTCTCCTCTGTTGCTTGGTATATCTATGGGAGAAATGGCTGCACTTAGATGGTGGATGAAATGATTCCTTCACGTAATGTTTGTAAAATGCTACAAGAGGAAGGTTACTGTAAGGAAATCAAATTGTCAGTGACCAATATGGGGTCCTTAATAGACTGCAGTGTTTATGGCGGTTGGGAAGCAAATCCCACATGTGGGCAGGCTCTTTCTGCTGTGTACATTGGGGCAAGTTGTATTGGTAAATCAAATTCATAAAAACTCTTGCTCATCCTTCAAATGTTTACATTTCAAATATTTTCTTTCTTTCTTTCTTTAACAAGTATACATTGTAAACTTCTGACAGGCTAGGGGAATGGCCCACAATACTTGTAATTGTTCCATTGGAAGCTACCCAAGATGAAAAGTTCAGAGCTGGTTTTTAATGAGCTGGGAAATCTCAAGAGCCAGCATTTAGATTTTGTGACTCCAAAGCCAGGGCTGGTTCTGATCCAGCTCACGTTTTGCTCTGACTCTAGTATCTTCACATTTGTTCAGATAAGTGATTATGGTTTAATCACGTAGCACAAAGGCATTTGCAAAAAGGGACAAATTGTGCAATCTCAGGCAGCAGGTGTGTGACTTATTTTTAGTCAATAAATTCTAAGAAACAAGCCAAAACAAATTCTCAGCCCCATTCTGTAACTTTTTAATTGTTGTAGTTGTTTGTCCTGACTGTATAAGCTAATGCAATATTCATTTGTGCATCAAGCTGGGGTGGGAAGAGGAATTGGAAAATTGCGAATATATCAGTGGATGGTTTCTCAAACTTGACAGTCCTTTCTGTGATACTGCATCTCCATCTAGTGGTAGATTTTTAGAGTACATTGGCATCACCGTGAACATAGCTGCATTTTTTGAGTTCTTGCCTCTGGGTCTTGCAGATACATAAAATGTTTATACCTTACTGTTTCTATCTTAACCCTACAGCTCATGTTTGTCACATCATTACTAGCCTCAACATGGAAGATTTAAAAGCTAATGTGCCTCTGGTACAACTTTGTAGAATGAAAATATCAATAAAATGCAACAAATCCCTGAATCGGGTAGGTAGTTATATACTGAGAGCTGTTTCAGGAAAATGAGCTGTAAGACCACCTGATCACCAATAAAAATTCAATTAGTATTTTCATAAAACCTTACAGAAAGCTGGGACAGGAAGAAGCCCCTTGAAAAAAGCAGAGTACAGCAAGTTTGTGCTGAGCCCAGTTACAATGCACTGTTCAGCGTCTGTGGCTTTATTCCCTTTATCTCTCGCCAAGCCACTGTCTCCAACTGTCTCAGACGATTGCTGAGTCTCCAAAGGCCCAAAGGCACACTGAACTCTGAGGAAGAATTCATGTAGCACTTTCCCGCTCACCCTTGCTCTCTGGATGTGTCTAGACTACAGGGTTTGTTTTTTTTAAAGTGGCATTTTCGAAAAAACTTCCTCTGCGTCTAGACTACTGCCACGTTCTTGCAAAAGTAAATCAAAAGACTGCAGCGGTTTTTTTTCGACTGTGGAAAACCTCGTTTTACGAGGAAGAACACCTTTTTTCAGAAGTGCTCTTTCGAAAAAAGGCGCTACGTAATGCAAACTGTGCTTTTTCGAAAGAGAGCATTCAGACTGCATGGGTGCTCTCTTTCAAAAAAACGGCTTGCTTTTTCGAAAGTACTGGTTGTAGTCTAAGATGCTCTTTTTCAAAAGAGGCATGTAGTCTATACGTAGCTTCTGAGTCTCTCTCTCTCTCTCTCTCTCCCCCTCTGAATCCAAAGTCTTTTTAAAATCTCTTCTGTCAACAGCAAATGCTTTGATTTATCCACTATCTTTATCCAGTTTTCTCAGAGCCTCTTCGCCTTTGGGTGTTAGTATTTGGCCCTTCATTGTGTATGAGCATTTATTTTAAAAGCAAATGTGAGCTCATACTGTTTTGACCTTGTCAGCATCGTAAAACTAAAATGATTCCTGTTTCGCAAAGTTTGGGCATGAAAGATTAGGCTTTTTCTGGGAGGGGAGTGGTTAAAGGAGAAAAGTTGGAACTTGACAACTTCCAACCAATAACAGTTTTAGAACAGGACCAGAGAAGCCTCCATCCCTCCAGTTCCCCTGTGAAGTTAAAATGTTAGCTTTGAGTACACTAAAAATAGTGAAGAATTAGGGGTTGAAAACTTAGATGCATCAACAGGACACATGGGCCTCCCATTTGCCTGTTAATCAAAGCTCTTAAACCCTAATCTGGAAAACCATATGCTGTGGAGGAGTAAATGATTAATGTCTGTGAAGTACTGGCCCAAGTAAGAACTAGCACTGCCAGATGTGATAATGTTGTCCTCTGCCACATAGTTGCAGCTTGGACTTCTTCAGATAAGAATGTAGTCTTGTTTCATCTTCAGACATCGATCCTAGAGGGGGGTGGGAGCCTGTTAAACAGCCATTTATTCTCTGTCCTCAGCCCATATGCTTTAGAGCAAATATTTTTGCCTATTCTTCTTCCTTTCTCATTGACTTAAACAGTTAAAAATATGCCTTTGTATTTACATAGCATATTTCCGTTGAGAATCTCAAAAGGCTTTTAAATATAAATTAAGCCTCAGAATACTCCTGTGGGGTATGTATAGGATATATAGGAGTCACTTCATCTACCACTGAAACACAGCCATCTCCTCGGTGGAATTTGGCATATATTAGATAGCACACAAGAACATCTAAGCAGCAGTTTATAGCCATATGTCAACACCACTCTGTCCAACTGACACTGCAGAGGGAATTTCAATTGGTAAAATATGACCAGATGGAATTTATCCAGGAAACTGGTTTAATCTGTTCTGTTGAATCTTTCAGGAATGCGACTAAATAAGTCTTAGTCTTCTGTGTGGTGTGAGGTCTCTAATCCCTAAGGAACACTTCTAGATCTCAGAGAGAACTACAGCACCACCATGTGTGAACTGCCAATTCCCGCCTTCCTAAAAAGTCTTCACTGCATCCTACAAACGTACAGCAATCACAGCTCAGAAGTCTTACTGGAAATGCAAATTCACAAAAGTTCCTTAAGCATCATTTCCATGGGAATTGTTCTGCAGAAGAACTACTTAACATTTTAACATCAATCCGCTATATGTCTGTCTGGTTTCCCATACAATGCCTGAATAACTAAGCACCTGAAACTTCCATAAAATTTCACATGACCTTTAATAACAAGTCCTCTTTCCTCTAGGAAGTCCTCTTCCCAGCATAAGACCTCCACTGCCATGTTGGTCCTTTCTCAAAATGGTATACGTCAGCAGTGCACTTTGTTATTCCTCAGAAGTCACTATATTGGTGTCTTCTGCCTAATTCTGCTTGCATTTTATTTGTTGTATCAGGTATATTATAGATGTTGTTGAATTGTAACTGTTCCATAAACAAGTCAATTTTGGTCATTTTCTCCTTTGAGTATCTTGTTTCTAAAGGTCTCCTCCTAAAGGCCAAAACTTCCATAGACATCAATGGCTCAGGATTGGCTCTTAGATCATTTTAACTTAATTCGCTATATGAAGCTGGGCAAATGGACTAGTTGACTGAGATTAAATGAGATGATGCACTTCTGTTTATCTGTCACCGTGTTTTGAACAGCAATTCCGAATTTGTTTTCTAAACTACGCAACATCTTGGAATGATTCTTTCTCATGCATCTTTTGCCCCCATGCTTTCATGGTAGAACCACCACACAACTGCAGAGTCTGCTCAGGAGAGGCTTGCAGCAGGTTGAGAATGATGTGTAATGGCAGAGCTGAGTGTGTGGGTAGCTTAAATAACACATTATTTAACACCTGCTGTAGCCAGTGCCATTACTGTTAGAATCTCATTGTGTATTAAAGTCCACATGTGTACAATGAAGACTGTAATGTTTTGCTAAATTTGCATCAGTGGAAAAAACTCTTCACTTCCATCACTATGAGTGTACTTTGGAACACCCACTGATTTGTCAAAGAGCAGTTAATCCCTTGCGTATCCTTTGCAGCTTTTTTACCTCCCTCTCTTTTCTTTGCACTTTGGAGTAGAATGAAATTTTCATATTGTTTCAGGGCATCACCGTGTGTAACTTACAGGGCTTAGAGCTTAAGTTGCTAAGGATAGAATGTATTCCAGTGTAAGTAGTGGGCTAGAGTTCAGAAAACATCGGTGCATAATTGTACTCTTAATTTTGTGTAATTTCTCTGACTGCACGTGAAGAACAGATTCATTTTCCAAGTTGTACAAGTGATCCAAACTGACATTTAGCATGTGCAATTATTAGAGAGATTGCATATCTAACTTATTTGAAACTCTAGTCACACACAAAAATATCTGTAGGTGTAGGAACAAGTATAGCGTTCATTTTCACATCATGTTAATTGACTATTCCCCAGCACACACATTGTTTCTAACGCTTCCATCCACCACAATAACTAATGAGCATCTTAAGAGTTGAATCTGAATATGTATTGATTACATAAGAATCGACACATATCTGAAGTTGCAGCTTTTATGTTCTTTACTCTTAGCAAAGTGCTTGGTATAAAAAAAGACAGCGGATCACAAAGCAGCAGTGTGCCATTTTAGATAAATGTGCCAAAGATAAAAATGGCTGATTGCCTGTAAGAGAACAGGCAAGTCACAGCTAAGTCCTTCTGATTCTCTTCCTTCTTTGTTTTCTCTTTTAGTGTGGAAACAATAAATGATGGGCAGTTTCACAGTGTGGAGCTGGTTATGCTGAACCAAACATTGAACTTGGTTGTGGATAAAGGAGCCCCCAAGAGTCTTGGCACACTGCAGAAACAACCCACTGTCAACCTCAACACCCCACTCTACATTGGAGGTATGTTCAGTCACTCTTTGCAACAATAGCTAAGCCCTTGACAATTTTCCAAATGTTTCTTCAGCAAATACAGTAAAACCTGTGTTATCCAGCATGCTCGGGGATTAGGGCATTCCGGTTATCTAAAAATTCTGGTTATCTAAGGATCCCATCAACCTAGGAAAAACCAATGGACAATAATAGTAAAACTCACGTTTTTAATATTGGTAGTTTTGTAGTGTGAGGCAGGTGGTCTCACATTTCTAATTTGAGTTAAAGATGATTAGTATTTCTTAAATAAAAAATCGTTAAGCCAATCATGGTAAACCAAACCAGGTCTGTGCACCTGAAGATGTAACAGTATTGTGGCTGGGGGTAATGCCGGTTAACAACGTTTTCTGGTTAACAGAGTGCCAGATTAAGGTTTCACTGTAATACAACTGGCATCTCCAAGCAGATCATGTTACTACTAGGAAAATGATTATCCTGGAATAAAAACATTAAGAGATTAAGTAAATAAGCCATTCCAACATGGTAGTCAGTCAAGATGTTAGCAGCCCCTTTAATTCAACAGTCTGTGAAGCTGTGCAGGGTATGTATGGAGATACTTCAGTGATGCACATTGCAGGACCTGATTTGGATAGAGAGCATCTGTTCTTCCGTGGTGCTTTTTCTGAATGAACTATATTTAAATCAAGCACAAATGACTGCAGGTTTATAATGAAGCCTTAAGGGCCAAAAACCGTTGAAGCTGACGGAAAAATTCTCTTTGGTTTCTCTATGTGCTGGATCAGCCCCTTTGTGAATAATTCCTTTCTGATAATCCCTTTTCTATGTGAATTACTATCTGCACAAATCTGAAAACTAGATATTCTTGTTTTGGACAGAGCTGTATCTTAACAATTGACTCAGATTAAGAATGTCACAGATTAAAGAATCTCATGCAGCAGAAATGATCTGGCAGCAGAGCTATGAAAACATCTCTCCTGAACCACCTGACCTATGTGAAAGATACAGCTCTATAAAAAAAATAGTATGCCCTATGAAAATAAAAGAGATAAAAGATTCTATAATGAAACTATAATAGGGGAGTGTTAAAGTAGTCTTGGCTTTTGGTTACTTTCCTTTGCAACTTCAATGTCTTCCTAACTTTGTTCTGCTAAACATAGATCCTCTATAGACAAATTGCAAAATTCTCTCCTTTTAGAATTTAAAGCATAAATGCATGACTGAAAGCATTACTAGTATGATGTAAGTTACAGACTCTATGGCTGTGTCTAGACTGGCATGATTTTCCGCAAATGCTTTTAACGGAAAAAAATTTCCGTTAAAAGCATTTGCGGAAAAGAGCATCTAGATTGCGCAAAAGCATCCGTGCCAAAAGCACTTTTTGCGGAAAAGCGTCCGTGCCAATCTAGATGCGGTTTTGCGCAAGAAAGCCCCGATCGCCATTGTCGCCATTGGGGCTTTTTTGCGCAAAACAGTTTTTAGCTGTCTACACTGGCCCTCTTGTGCAAATACATTTGTGCAAGAGGGCTTTTTCCTGAACGGGAGCAGCATAGTATTTGCGCAAGAACACTGACAATCTTACATTAGATCATCAGTGTTCTTTCTAAATTCAAGCGGCCAGTATAGACAGCTGGCAAGTTTTTCTGCAAAAGCAGCTGCTTTTGAAGAAAAACTTGCCAGTCTAGACGCAGCCAATCATGTTTTAAGCATGATATAAAACTAAATATGTGCCCAGTTACACTCACTAAACATCCCAAATCACTTCAACAAGTATTAGGGTGTTCATTCCAATATCCCATCCAATATAATGAGCTATTTTCTGCCTATCTAGATTTCTCCTGCAATAGTTGTAATTGGCTACAACATTATTATTTCCTGTCCTGACTGTTGCATGTTGTTGCTGAATACTGTTAGTTCTCTTGTTGCATTCTAGAGGTAGCAGCATTTCACTGGCAAACTAAGAAATTCTTATATAAATTCTAAAGAACTTAGGGGTTAAAGTTGCTTTAAAAATATAAATTGAAGAAGCATGATCTAATAGTTGAAAGGCAGGACTGTGAGTCTGGAAAGCTAGACTTTTTTCATTGTTCTGCCACATTTCTTGTGCAATCATGGACAAGTATTTTTTCTTTCTGCCTTTCCAATTCCTCATCTGCAAAATGAAAATAATAATACTGAACTCCTGGAAAGAAGTGTTCTAAAATTTAATTCATTAATTTTCATGATGGGCTTTGGGATCCTCAAAGGTACAGTGCAGTAGAAGTGCTAGACATTATAATTTCTTCTTGTTTATTATTGTGAGTGCCAGATAATCTTTATATTTTGTTTTATCTGAAGGGATCCCAACATCTACTGGGCTATCTTCATTGCGCCAAGGCACAGAGAGGATGTCAAATGCCTTTCATGGATGTATCCATGACGTCCGCATTAATAACGAGCTGCAGGACTTTAAGGATCTACCCCAACAGTCATTAGGAGTCCTTCCTGGCTGCAAATCCTGTAACATCTGCAAGCATGGGATCTGCCGGTCCATAGAGAAGACAAGTGTTATCTGTGAATGTCACCCAGGCTGGACAGGCCCGCTGTGTGACCAGGAAATTGGAGACCCCTGCCTTAATAACAAGTAAGGTCAACTTACTGCTAATGGGAGCACTCTCTTCAATGAATTAACATTTAACTCTATCTTACAATGCTAGCCTTCATTTTCAGAGGTGCTGAATACCCACAATTCCCAGTGAAGCCACGAGGAGTTGTGAGGCCTCTTCACCTCTGAAAATTACATCAATCACTTCTTGTTTAGAAGGATGCCAGGCCAAAGATCTGCTCTCCAGTTTCTGTCTTTGCCCAGGAGAAGTTGAGGCATTTATTTCAAGAGCCACATTTTCAAACTGTGGGTTTGACTGCCAAAATATAGGCCAGCATTGCATATATAAACCCCACATCGATGCATATACATTGCATTTGATTCCCTGATTGCATATCATTAGCCAGGGATGAGTTTTCTGTAGCAGGATGATGCATATTTTGTTGATGAATCCATATTAAGGATGTGAAAGTATAACCATGCACATGGTTAACCAGGGATGTCAATGTGTAGTCGGCTATACAATTAACTGAAAAGCCTAGGCTTATCAGTTAATCTTCTCAACTACACACATTCTCCCCTTTGCTGCCTCTGTAACAGAGGCAGTGAAGGTGAGGAGGGAGACGGCTTAAAAGGCAGCAGTGGCAGGGGGCAGAGGAGGCTGCTGCAAAACAGCTTCTGTCCACAGTGGGCTCAAGTGCCCCACAGACAGACACTGCTGTGCATACCATGGAACAACCTCTGTCCGTGGGAAGTTCAGATTCCCCATGGAAAGGAGCTGCTGCCTCTGTATTATAGGCAGCAGTGTGGGGTGGCAGGCAGCCGGTCTGCACAGGGAGCTGGTTTTTAAACTGACTGTCCTTACAGACCAGCTCCCCCCTACTCCTAGGAGAATTCTCCTGTTGGAGAATCTGTGGGAAAGGATTATTGCAGACACATGGTTTTGACAGGCAGAGTGACCAAACCTGTAATCATCCACGTGTCTGACTGGAACAAAAAGTAATTTATCTGGGCACCGCACCCATTTACAAAGGCAGCAGTGTGGGGTGTCGGGGATCCCTGCCTCACCCCTGGGGACTATCAAATAGTCGTGTAACTGCAAAGATTTCATGCAGTTACATGACTATTCAATTACTTAATATCTTACATCCCTATGGTTAACCGATGAGCCTGGGCTCATCAGTTAATGTTCATGGTTACGCGCAGGCTCCCGGTACGTACAGGAAGGAAGCCAGCTTAAAAGTTGAGGAACCGCATATGTACTCATCTTTCCCCTCCCTCCCCCCCACTGCCTCTAATAGTGCAGTGAGGAGGGGTATGCGCGGGGAGCTGGTTTAAATGCCAGCTCCCTGGAGGATCCATCTGCATCTCCCTTTGCTGCTGTCCCTTATACAGAGGCAGCAGCATGGGGAGAGGGGCGGGCAGGAGCCAGAATGCATGGGGAGCTGGCGGAAGGTGCCTGCCTCCTGCATTTAACCATTGACATTTTCAGTGGTTACACAATTACTAAATTAAATGCATTTTAACATCCCTAATCCACATCCAAAAGGAAGTACTAGAAGGTGCTACATGGGATGTTCAGGCTCCACCTCTTGAAAGGCCAATGCTAGAACAATATATTCCATAGTTAATGTTGTTCTTTAGAACGATGTATTCCAACTTAAACTGGTTTGGAACCCCCAAAATGCTGCTGTCCTTAAGAGTTCCTTTGGAGCAGAACATCTGAGAAACAGCAGGGCTGTGTCTAGACTGCATCCCTTTTCCATAAAAGGGATGCAAATTAGACATATTGCAATTGCAAATGAAGCGGGGATTTAAATCCCCCCTGCTTCATTAGCATAAAAATGGCTGCCGCTTTTTTCCAGCTCAGAGCTTTGCCGTAAAAAGGCGCCAGTCTAGACGCGGATCTTTCGGAAAATAAAGCCTTTTCTGAAAGATCCCTTATCCCTCTTAAAATGTTTATTTTGGATGTCTTAGCTCTCATTCAGTTTCTGGCCAGTATGCTAAAGAAAAGTTCAGTGCCAGGTGCACTGGCAGAAACTGCAAAAGAAAATTGGGTAATATTCACTGCAAAAGAAAATTGGGTAATAAAGCCTTTTCCGAAAGATCCCTTATCCCTCTTAAAATGAGGGATAAGGGATCTTTCAGAAAAGGATTTATTTTCCAAAAGATCCGTGTCTAGACTGGCACTTTTTTCCGGCAAAGCTCTGAGCCGGAAAAAAGCGGCAGCCATTTTTATGCTAATGAAGCAGGGGGGATTTAAATCCCCGCTTCATTTGCAATTGCGATATGTCTAATTTGTATCCCTTTTACGAAAAAAGGATGCAGTCTAGACACAGCCCCATTGTGTGAAGTAAGTTGTAGAATAATTTCTCCAAGTACGCTCTGACGTGGATTGTTCACAAGCAGTTAGTTTCAAGTATTGATATTCTAAATCTAAGCTGTTTTGTTTGGATACATTTTATTGTTTTATCCATGACTAAATGAGCCTAACCTTTGCTCAGGTTTCCCATGAGAACTTTTTATGATCAGTACATTCAAATTTTGCACTCTGTGAATATTACCCAGTTTTCTTTTGCAGTTTCTGCCAGTGCACCTGGCACTGAACTTTTCTTTAGCATACTGGAAAGAAACTGAATGAGAGCTAAGACATCCAAAATAAACATTCCTGGAAAAATTGAGGTCTCTTCCTGCCCTAATTCAAATCCCACAAGCATAAGACAGTTCTAAGCTTTTCTTCTTTCTCAGGTGTATCCATGGCAAATGCACGGCTGCCAACTTTGCTTACACGTGTAAGTGCTTGGAGGGATATACAGGCATGTACTGCGACAAGAAGAATGACTCCTCAAACCCCTGCAGAATTATGAAATGCAACCACGGGCAGTGTAAACTCTCAGAACATGGGGACCCATACTGTGAATGTGACCCTAACTATAGTGGAGAGCACTGTGACAAAGGTATGTCTGGCTACAGTGCCTGGAATACCACTTGTTGTGATTTCTATTCATGTTTGTCTTCCTCCATTTAAGTCTTATTAATGGGACAATGGCCACTCAGAGCAATAGGAAAAAGCAAGGGAAACCATACAAGAGCTGGCCAATTGTTGTTTGAACGTGTGGAAAAGAGTAGCTCTGTTGTAACAGCTCTGTTCCTTCAGCATCCTGGAGGCTTCGGGCTTTGTGGTTTCTTAATGGGTGCCTGAGGGGAGAGGGCAGCCTGTGGCTGCTCTTCTGTGGCATTTTCCCCTTCATACACTATAGGCTGTGTCTAGACTGGCAAGTTTTTCCGCAAAATCATCTGATTTTGCGGAAAAACTTGCCAGCTGTCTACACTGGCCACTTGAATTTCCGCAAGAACACTGACGATCTCATGTAAGATCATCAGTGTTCTTGCGGAAATACTGTGCTGTTCCCGTTCGGGCAAAAGCCCTCTTACGCAAATCATTTGTGCAAGAGGGCCAGTGTAAACAGCACAGAGTACTGTTTTGCACAAAAAATCTCCGATGGCTAAAATGGCGATTGGGGCTTTTTTGCGCAAAACCGCATCTAGATTGGCCACGGACGCTTTTCCGCAAAAAGTGCTTTTGTGGAAAAGCGTCCTGCCAATCTAGACGCAATTTTCTGAAAATGCTTTTAACGGAAAACTTTTCCGTTAAAAGCATTTCCGGAAAATCATGCCAGTGTAGACGTAGCCTATAAGGATTGTCCTCCCAGCACACTGAAACACACCCTGGATGGGGAAGTTCAGAAAGGCAACAGCAGAATTCCCATGAAGCACTGCTTCTCTAGGAACCATGCTATGTAGAAAGAGTAATGTGAGTCGCTCTCATTCCTTCTGTCTCCTGAGCTTTGCAGGCTTGAAATGGAGTCTCAAGAATTCTAAGCTTTTCCTATATTCCTACTGGACTTCTGGGGATGCCAAGCCACTATCTGTTCAGGAAGTTCTAACCTAGTTTCCTACAAATACTACCCACTACACACCCCACAACAGAAACACTAACCCAGGAACCAAACCTTACAACAAACCCCATTGGCAACTCTGTCCACACATTTACCCTAGTGACACCATCATCAGACCTAACCATATCAGTCATATCATCAAAGGCTCATTCATCTACTAATGTGAAATATGCCATCATGTGCGAGCAATGCTATACATTGGACAAACAGGACTGTCTCGTGAAACTGCAGAGCTGGAATTCATATGCAAATTTCGCATCTTCAGAATGTGTATGAGTAAGACTAGGAATGTCTCTCTCATTATAGTAATTTTCCCCTTTTGATATTCTCACATTCTTATAGCTGTTGGTAGTGGGCCATATTCACCCTGATTAAATTAACACTGATATAACACCCATCTCTGTATCCCTGCTATATGATCTTTCACTTCATGTATCTGGTGAAGTGAGTTACTACTTGCAAAAGCTTATGTCCTAATAAAATTGTTAATCTTTAAGGTGCCAGTGGACTCCTTGTTAATCTGATTACTCCACAGTGACTGCACAATAGATTAGGATTAGGAAATGTTGCCAAGTAGACTTGGACAAACCAGATTATTAAAGTTCATACAATATAAGCCAAGAGTGGGCAAAAGGGCCTCTGCGGGCCGGATCCAGCCTGCCAAGCAGGTGGATCCGGCCTGCAGAGGCCCTGCCGCTCCCCCATGCCCAAACCAATTAGGAAGTGCCAGGTGCTCCTGATAGACTTCATGCATTCCCCCACCCCCAAGCCAATCAGGGCCAAGGATTGGACTCCACTCTGTCCCTGCCCTGCGAGCAGCCTGCAGTGCTTAAAAGCACCATGCGCTCCTGGCAGTGTGGGAGGAGGCTTTGCGTGCTCCCCCGCCCCCACGCCAATCACGGCCTAAGGGTGGAGGAGCACGCCAATTTTCCTCCACCCTGGCCCTGCCTTGTGAGGAGCGTATGGCATTTCTAAGTGCCACGCACTGCTGACAGGGTGGGAGGAGACTTTGCACACTCCCCTTGTTCAAGGCAACAGACCTGATTTCACATTGCCTTGTATAAATACATTCCGGCACAAAGTGAGTCCTACTCTGTCCTGATAGCATTTTATACTTGATACAAAGCTTTGGAGAATTAAAGCTCTATGCGTAGTTGTTTACCTTTAACAGAATAAATGTTAGAACATGCACATGGTTGGTGGGGAGGGATTTACAAGATAATTATCACCTTCCTCATCCTTCCTCTCTCTAACAATCTTGGGGATCATAAATAACAAGCCAGTGAAAGAGAACGGAATAAAACTTTAATAGCACAAACCGGGCATTGTCTCTGGTGAACTGCTGCACAGTGCAGTTATTCCCACTTCTTGCCTCTTGGGCATATCTCCAAAATCCCATGTTCACAATACTGTTCCTTCTGAGGGAACATCTCTAAATTATAATCTTGTACAAACCGGTCTCTATGCTTTCCGTTGTCTTTACAGAGAATCTTTGCCAGGGAGAGATTGTCCGAGAAGTGATCCGTAAACAGCATGGCTACAGCTCATGTGTCACTACCTCCAAAGTTCCGCAGATGGAATGTCGTGGCAGTTGCAGTAATGGGCAGTGTTGTGTTCCCCTCCGAAGCAAAAGGCGGAAATACATATTTCAGTGTGTGGATGGCTCCTCCTTCATGGAAGAACTGGAGAGGCATGTGGAATGCGGCTGCTCAAAATGCTTATAAGCCATTCTCCAGTCTCTTGCCACTTTAATCGACTCAGAAGTGCTCTCAAAATGGGACCTATTTACTTTCAGCGTGAAGAAGAGAAGAATATTAAGTATATTGTAAAATAAACAAAAAATAGAACTTATTTTTATTATGGAAAGTGAATATTTTCATCTTTTATTATATAAAGTATCACATCATTTTGGGTATATGTATCATATAGTGAGTTATTTTTACCATAAAACTTTTTAACAGTTGTTAAAAAAATAAAAAGGTTTTAAAAAATAAAGAAATCATAGCCTAACAAAAGGAGAAACGGGGTAAGTTTATAATCATGCATGATGGCCAAATGTGAAGATATTTCAAGGAACTGCTACAAAAAAATAGATACAGACAGAAAACAATCTTCTCCGAGGTTCTGGTGGGTACAACAGGAAAGCACAATCTCACATCTGACAGCCATCTCCTCTATCTGTGTACCCTGAAAATCTCCCTTTTGCTTCTTACCCTTGTCTAACAATGCTAGTTTGTGTTTGGTTCCTGTACAGTGGCTCAGCTTGATACTCTTGAAAATGTCCCTCAAAAAGTGCATCGGTCTGGCAGTAGCCTAAGTCTGATACTGTCTCCATTACTCAAGTGTGATAATACTATACTGCATTTTTTGTTTTGTATTTTGTATTTTTATCTGTCTTCCGAATATACTCTTGAGCGACTGTATCTCTATAGCACGGACAGCTCTACCCAAACTGAAGTGGGGCAGAGAATGTGGGAAATGTATTTTGCGACATTTTTGTCCAAAAAGGCAAAAATAAGTGCTTAGTTACTCCAGTTAAGTAACATACTGACTTCTTCTGCTTACCCTTCATGTGCTGCTTCCCAGATTTATGCCTTGATGCTCTTAGCCTGGAGTTAATTTTTGAATATGAAATGTGAGGAATATATTACAATGAAGTTTGGCAACCTAAACACTGTAGCTTTCAAGTTCATGTATAAAAGTCCATTTGTAAAAGGTGAAAATATCCTAAGAACCAGAATTTACCATGCTAAGATATTGTACTTTATTCCCACTTTCATTTATTTCTGCCAAAATTTTACTCTTTGCCAGAGTTGTCTATTAATACACACTCTAGGTGTGTTCATGGACAATATGCTGCTTCTCCAGCTGCTACTTCTCAAATTAATGTAAATTGCACTACAAGCATGTTGAATTCCTAGGTTTGCTGTCCATCCCACCTTAACACTTTCATCTGGTCTTACTGAGACTTTTGATATTTTCATATAGTGTTGCTCTCACTTTCCACTACAGGCTGTCCTCGCTATAAGTCCAAAAAGCTTGGACTCATAGCAAAACAACTTAAAGCAGGGAATTTGTTTCCCACAGCTGACTTCCATTTGCGCAAATTCAGGAGGGGGTTGCACAACTTAAAAGCGAGGAATGGGAGAACTTGTAATGAGAACTTGCATCAGTTCCTACAAGCATCAACGACTTATTGCTGAACGGATGTATACCAAGGCGACTTATAGCGGGGACGCCCTGTACAAAGATTGGCTGATTGATTCACACTAAGAACATTTGCACCTGCACTGTTGAATATTCTGCACCTGTTCTATGTGTGCGGAATGAATGCTGAATATGTAGCAGAGATCCATGCAGATGACAAATTCTCAGTGTGAATTTGAGAGGTGACTTTTACTCTTAGGCTGTGTCTAGACTGCAGGGTTTTTTGGAAAAAAGTAGCCTTTTTTCGAAAAAACTTCATCGGCGTCTAGACTATAGCCACGTTCTTTCAAAATTAAATCGAAAGAACGTGGCTTTTCTTTCGACGGTGGTACTCCTCATTTCACGAGGAAGAACGCCTTTTTTCGAAAGGCGTTCTTGAATGCAAACAGGGCTTTTTCGAAAGAGAGCATCCAGACTGCCTGGGTGCACTCTTTCGAAAAAGCGGCTTGCTTTTTCGAAAGTACTGGTTGCAGTCTAGATGCTCTTTTTCGAAAGAGGCTTTTTTGAAAGTATCTTTCTGCAGTATCTTTCGAAAGAGGCTTGCAGTCTAGACGTAGCCTTAACGTGTTGGCCGTTTTGCCAGGGTTACCTATTAAAAACAGAAATTACATTCACGGGCAGCCAGTACGTTAGTGCCCTCCCTATGCACCGGGGCCGGGCGCCGCCCACCTTCCCCGTGATGCTTCTCCCGCCCTACCTTCACCAGCTGCCCATGATTACATTACCCAAGCCTTGACGTGGTCTAATACCATGAATAAATTGACCTCCCTGCCAAAATTGTTCCATTGTTTCTTCAAGTACTTTCTCTTTCTCCCTGCAAGAGCATTGAATACAGTGGTCCTTTTTTCAACGAGTCTGTTTGTGTGAAAAAGCTATGACAGAGCTTTATACCCCACATTGTGGTCTGATCCAATGCCCACTGACTGTAATGGAAAGGATCAGGCCCTTTAAAAGCCAGGGCAGAGAGAAAGGCTCATCAGTTTATAAATAAATAGATGATACTTTTGCCTGAATGAGGCTTTTAAAAAAGCATGGTCCAGATTCCTGCCATAGCCATTACAAATTTACAGTCCCAGAAAAAGAACAGACACCACTGCAGTTACAATGTAAATCTTTGTCTTTTTTTGGAACCAGAAGCCCTAAGATGCTTATAGACCTTACTCTAATTAAAGCCTATTTTATCCATAACAGTGTAGTCAGGTTTCCTTTTTGTTTCTCAGTGTAATTTGGGCAGGAAGGAAGTGAGTGATACAATAGATGTCTTTCAGAATAAATACTATTACAATGGAGCCTGCAATCAGGGAAACACGAACCAATTACTGTGTGCCAAAAACTGATTGCAATAGTATGGAACAGGAGACAGGACAAAAAAAAACCCTGTTTCATATAGCATAGTTTCACTTTATGTCAAGTGATAATATGTGAAACCAGAAGCACACGGAGCTTATAAAGTTTAAAATAACAAAACAAAACCAAAAAAACCTCCCTGCCCCCAAGCTGTTGAATCTAAAAATTTCCAAAAGCAACTAATTGCACATGCTTGTATAAACAAGGCCTGGCACATCTCTACTATTATTAATTATACATTCGTAGACACAGTTAGCCATTATTCCAGAGAAGAGAAATCAAGACTTGACCAGTGGATCACAGCACATCAGTGTTTCTAATAAAGTCTCATTAGTAAGCTGGATAATTGGCAGCTAGTAAACTGCCAAAACTTTGTGCAGCATTGTCTTCCCCAAAAAACTAACTAAAGTTGTAGTCAATGGATTCATCCAAACAGCAGTATGACTGAGATGAACTGTTTCCTCTCCACCATCCCACACATCCTGACAGGTGTTTATATTGTGACTGTTACCAAAGGCAAAAAAAAAAGCCATTGAACAGCTAATTAAATGACTAAATGTGTTTAGCCAAAACTTCATAGCTACAGTACAGTAGGGCTGGCCCTGTTCTGTTATCACAGTCAAGTGCTGTGAAATACAAGTCAGAATTCCTATTTTTTTAACAAAAAGAAACATTTTTGTATATTTCTAGACAGCAGTTGTGTGACAATCACTGCCATGTTTCAGATGAGTGATTTTACTGGTTTAATATGGAATTAGTTTGCTTGGTTTAAAATTTAAAAAATGTAATGGTGCCAAAAATGTGAGGTTAATGGAAGTGTTAATTAGCTCTGGAAGTTTCTTCTGTAACCTGCTGTTACAGAAGTTATCAGCTACTACAGGTACAATGCAGTAATTTTTTAACGCTATCAAGCTTTTAATATAAACTGAAGAAGGATGCTAACCCTAAACGAAATGAGGGCAATGCAGACTAGGGTGAATTAGTGTATTTTATTAACAGACTCATTGTGATGTAATTTGAAATAAAGTGTTGGGTTTATGGAAGATTATAACATATCTTGTGGTGTGATGTAAATTATTTCTCTCTACTTTATAGTCTGGATCTGATGGTCTAGCTACCAGTGAGGTGACTGAAGTATTGCAATGAGAATGTAAGCCACTTTGGTCACAGTGGCAACACAAAGTCCCATCCACACAACTCCAGTGCAATAAGGAGGTCAGGAAAAATGTAACCATTGCATTCTTTCTTTGGGAATAAAGGGGCTGAATTTACCTCAATGAAGAAGCCATAGTAGTAACATTTACATTATGGGAGCACTATTAGGCCCTACTCAGGCTTGCCCCTCCACTCCCTACCCCCCACCACATGCACAGAGAGCTGTCACCAAAATCAGCCACTGCTAGAGATTTTCATGAATCCAGAGATATAAGGTTACCTTGGCTCAGGCTCTGCACCTCAGCTTTGGCTCTCAGCTCCTTCCAGAAACCCGTCAGTATGAGCCTTTGTTGGCAGGGACTGTTCAATGGCACAGCAGGAAAAACTGGAGCGGTTTACCCATAAGATTACCCATGACAAGTATATGAGCTGATAGTGTTTTCACCCTGATCCGATGCCCTCTCCATACAGACCCTGATTCCCAATAAGGACCTTCTGTGGTGGGCAGGGGGAGTGGGGATATGCTGTTATGAAGGTGGCACTGCCTACTCCTGTACTGCCCAAGGTCGGCAACCTCCGGATCCCCATAGCCTGTGAGTGCAGAGACTACAATATGGCCCTTAATCACCAAATGCTCTTCATGGTTTGCCAAACAATGATAGATACGCTTGTAGGATAAACGGGTTGAATCATAATGCGGTGTTAATGGTAACACTGGGTAGACAAGCCAGTGAGATCAACCAAGTCAGAGAAAGGTCAACAGAATCCAAATCAGTTGGCAGTTAGAGCTTTCAAAACTGATTACTACAGCAATTCTGTATTTCAAAATAAATTTGAAATAACAGATGGCTTATTCCGACTTCTTTAAACCTGATTCCACGAGGAATAACACCTCTTCCAAAATAGCTATTTCGAAATAGCTGTAGTGTGGATACTTCACTGCTGCTATTTCAAAATAGCTCCTCCCCAAGTCCATTCAAAGTACAGGCAGTCCCCGGGTTACATGGATCTGACTTACATCGGATCCCTACTTACAAACGGGGTGAGGCAACCCCGCACTAGCTGCTTCCCCCCAGCAGACCAGGGAGACGTGGAGCGGCTTTTCTCAGCAGACACCTCAGCTTGAGAATAAAGGACTGAGGGAAGTGAGATGTGGGAGAATAAAACTGAGCTCTGGAGAAATGTTTGGCTAGAGTTTCCCCTACAATATGTACCAGTTCCGACTTACATACAAATTCAACTTAAGAACAAATCTACAGTCCCTATCTTGTACGTAACCCGGGGACTGCCTGTAATTACGTCCTATTGCTTCCTGGGGCTCTAAATCAAGGTAGCGCATCCACATTATAGGAGCCTGCCTCAGACTAATTTTGAGATTTCCCAGTAGTGTAGATGTGCTATTTTGAAATAAGCTATTTCAGAGTATTTCTTCCAGAACAGCTTATTCTGAAATAAGTGTGCAGTGTGGATGTACCCTAGGTGACATCTTCCTCCATGATCTCATTAATCCTTCCTAGATGCTGGCGTTCCAGTATTCTTTTGTTAACCCTAGTTCCAGTCTTGACATCAAACACCAGCACAAACCCAGAAAGCATATTTTAGCCAAAGCCCTTTCTCAAGTGGGGTTAAAAGACCAGACTTGAAAGTGAGCATTTAAGAAAACAGCCATGCTAGGCAAGCAGTGTGCAAGCTTAAGTCATATGTTCTTGGCTGCCTACTAATAAAAATAAGCAGTTATTTCTGTAACAGAAGGTGTAGACCACTCATGCACATCAAGCAAGTGTTGTAAAATGGCAGAGTACTTCTGTGAAATTTAAAAATATGTTCAATATACAGAATGTCACATGATCCCTGCAAAACTAACTGATCATTTTTATTTTTATAGTTCCTCCCTTCCCACACATGTGCCCAACATGCTGTTTGACACATTAATGAATTGTCACCCATTCACACATGATCTAACTCACACCGAATTCACAGAGTCAGATGTTTGTTTCTAGATGTACAACTTTTTCCATAGAGCCCCTTCATAACATAGAACAGTGTTTCTCAAAGTGGTTCACGCAACCACTTTGAGAAACCAGTTAACTAGCCTCGCTGGTTTGTTTATTTAGCAGTACCATGTCCACGGTGCAAATGGACTTTCTTATATAGCTCTTTGTTGACCACTTCTTTTGAATTTTGATGTAGTTTGGCTCTTTGCTTTGAAAAGGCTGCTGACCCTGCTCTAGCAAGTGAGCAGGAGCTCAGTCACATTGTGCAGTGCGTGTCACCAGATGGCGATGTTACACACAAAGGTCTTAGTGATAGAAATGTCGCCATGTTAGTCTGGGGTAGCTGAAACAAAAAACAGGACTATGTAGCACTTTAAAGACTAACAAGATGGTTTATTAGATGATGAGCTTTCATGGGCCAGGCCCGCTTCCTCAGATCAAATAGTGGAAGAAAATTGTCACAACCATATATACCAAAGGATACAATTAAAAAAAAATTAACACATATGAAAAGGACAGATCAAATTTCAGAACAGAAGGGGGATGAGAGAGAGGTAAATGTCTGTGAGTTAATGATATTAGAGGTGATAATTGGGGATGCTATCTTTGTAATGGGTAAGATAATTAATATCTTTGTTTACGCTTAGGTGTAAAGTGTCGAATTTAAGCATGAATGACAGTTCAGCGGATTCTCTTTCAAGTATAGTCTTAAAAGCAGGATGCAGGTAATCAAGTCGTTGAGACAATGTCCTTTCTGGTTGAAATGTTAAGAAACTGTTTTTTCTTTGTGATCCTGTCTAATAGCTGTTTTGTGCGCATTGATTCTTTGGCGAAGTGTCTGAGACGTTTATCCAATGTACATAGCAGACAGACACTTTCGGCACATGATAGCATAAATTATATTTCTGGATGAGCAGGAATATGTGTTCTTGATCTTATAACTCACTTGGTTAGGTCCAATAATGGTATCAGCAGAGTGAATATGTGGACAAAGCTGGCAACAGGGTTTGTTGCAAGGGAAGGTACCAGGGTTGGTATTAGTGTGGTATGTCCTGTGGTTGTTGGTAAGAAGCATCTTGAGGTTAGGTGGTTGTCTATAGGAGACTATAGGTCTGTCTCTCAGAGACTCTTGGAGTTTAATATCCTGTTCCAGTATAGGCTGTAGTTTATTGATAATGTGTTGGACAGGTTGAAGTTGGAGACTGTAGGTGATGACAAGTGTTGTTCTATTGTTGCTTTTCTTGGGTCTGTCTTGAAGTAGATGGTTCTGGTATTCGTCTGGCTCTTTCAATTTGCTTTTTTATTTCTCGGGGTGGGTAGTTGAGGTTTATAAATGCTTGGTAGAGATCCTGAGGTTTCTGGTCTCTGTCAGTCTTAGGCACTGCACAGGTGTTTTCACTTCTCAGCCAATGTGAAGCAGGAAAACAAACAGTGGAACTTAAAAGCAAACAACCCTCCAGGCAGCTCCAGAAACCATGTGATTTTAGCATGAGTCTTGCAAAACCTGTTTCTTTCAGCCCGAGCTCCTGGAGTCCTGGAATTAAGTGACAATCTCAGTTTTTGTTTATTTAAAAAATATTTCTAGCCCTATTAGTTGCAGAGAAACTCTAGGAAAAGTGGCCTGTGGGCACACTAGAGCCTTGAGGTCAGAAGGAAAAACGATAGAACTCCAAATATATTTGTTAAAAGTCTCATGATTTGGGGGAGGGAGGGACTCGTCAGTTTTAACCATCGTGGGTGGGCAATACTATCACATTAGAGGAAGGAGTCTCTAATGCTGTCTCAGATCACAAGGAAAGTGGAGGGAGTGCCAGCTTTGCTCTTTAGCATGTGAGGCAATTGCTCTCCCTTGATTGCCTCATTTTATCACTGCTAATAAAAATACAGATACCAGCCTGACCTTCAATCTACTCACATGAAAGGATTTGAGGTAAGGATTTAAAATCCATGTTAAAAGGTTAGCCTGTTAACCATAATGTTTGACCAGTTCACTGTGATCCTGTGGCAGCATGTGGGTGAGGGGCTGCTCAGCCCATGCAGGCCCACGACACTGTAAGCTGCTCCAACTAGGCCAGGCAAAGCCTGCTGCACCATGCCATGGGAGAGGGGCTGCTTCAGCCCTGCCAGGCCTGCTCTTCCAGCCAGGCTAAATTGAGCCTGCTACACTGCACTGCAGGCAGGGAGGGGTCTGCTCCCCCCAGGCCCAGCCTGACCAGAGCAGCCCCCTGCCGGTTAACCAGTGACCCTAGTAAGCATGCGGGTAAGCGACATGCTTACCAGATAGCCGGTTAAACCTTTACAACTCTAATTTGAGGTCCTCTTTCCTACGTGTTTGACTGATTCTCAGGGTATCCAGATTTGTAGTCTGGAAAGACATTTTCTGCCAGGTCAGATTGGCAGGGACCTTGAGAGTTTTTGGCTTCCTTTGAACACGGATCCCAGACGCCCACTCATCAAAGCCCACTTTTACAAAGGATCATGGTGGATTCTCCCACTACTGGCAATTTTTAATCAAGATCAGGTTTTTTTAAATAAAATATGTACTCTAGGCCCATGTAATCCAGCCTAGGAGTTCCAAGACTGGGGGAAGGGGCAAGGGAGAACCTGCCCATTCCCATTCTCCAAGCCCCTGCCTTCCTGCTGCCACTAGGGATGTCAAGGTGAAGATGACGAGACAATTAACTGGTAAACCTGTTGACTACACACATTCCCCACCCCCACCTTATTGCCTCCATATCCGAGGCAGCGAGGGGGGGGGAGGCGGGACCCTGTGCCCCCTCCTACTCCCATGTTCCTGCTTCTGATAGTGGGAGGGTGAGGGGGGTAGATGAGTCCACGGAGCCAATACACACAGGAAGCATGCTTTTAAGCCAGCTCTCTGTGCATGTCGGCTCTGTGGTTTCACT